TTATTGAGTACTTTTGTACTCAGGGTTCGTTGACTCTTGTTGCAGGTGAGTCTCATGAGCAGATCTGTTGTGGATCGTGCTGCATGACAGTTGTACCTTGTGATGACGATGAGAAGTAATTGTGTGGCCCTTGGGCAGGGCAGCCTCATTGTGTGTTTTGTATTATATTATAATGCCGCTCCACTACTTTGGTTTGTATTAATATCGAACTTAGTTGTATGGTTTGTAAACTATGTTATTGTAAGTCTTCCGCTACTTTTACTCTGATGTATTTATTTGAATAAACTGTTGTAATACTGCAATGACTCTGTAATGTGATCTTGCTCGGAAATCGTGGATGATTCGGGGTTCCCCGAGGACACCCGACAGTCTTCTTAAATTACCAGGAACATATGCATAGATGTCAAAGGTTGTTGGACAGTGACAGGTGCATGTGGGCCCTATAATTTAGGAGGTTCTGCCACAAGGGTATGGTTCTTGGAGCCACGGTTGACCTGAACGTCTTGTCTTGCCCTGTCTCTATCATCTTGAAGGAACAGGGAGAAGTGGTCAGGTAAGATGAATCCAATCTTTAGATATGGAGCAGAGTGAGGCTCGTTCCTTGCCGTCGGGCGAAGCGGAGACCAATCCCTATCTCCTGGGCGAGACCGACCCTGCTCCTCCGGGGTCGGGCGAGGCGAAGTCTATCCCTCAGCCCTCGGGCGAGACCGAGCCCGCCCTAAAGGCGTCGGGCGAGACAGAGACTAGCCCTGTGCCCTTGGGCGAGGCAGAGCCACATCAAAGGCGTCAGGTGAGTCGGGGTTTATCCCTCGGCCTTCGGACGAGATCGAGCCCGTCCAAAAGGCGTCGGGCGAGACGGAGACTAATCCTCGGCCCTCGGGCGAGACCGAGCCCACCCCAAAGGCGTCGGGCGAGATGGAACCAAGCTCCTGTCATTCCCGTGAGGGGTGAAGCAACGCTCTTATGTGTCCAGAAGTTTTTAACATTCGATGGTTATTGGTTCCACCTTCTGGGGTACCCCAGTATTAGGTCCCCGACACTTCTCCAACATCGACACCGGCATGCAAGGAACCGTCCGTTTCGGAGACGGCTCGGTCGTGGCCATCGAGGGCCGTGGGACCATCCTCTTCAAGTGCAAGAACGGTGACCACGAGGTGCTCGCCGGCGTGTACTACATTCCCAAGCTGACAGCAAACATTGTTAGTTTGGGGCAACTCGATGAAGATGACTACAAGATCCTCATCGAGCATGGAGTGCTAAGGATCTGGGACCAGCAGAGGAGACTGCTGGTGAAGGTGAAGAGGACGGCGATTCGACTCTATGTCCTGAACCTCGACATCGACAGGCCTGCCTGCCTCGCTGCCTGGAGCTCAGAGGCTGCCTGGTGGTGGCACACCAGATTTGGGCACCTCGGATTCCAGGGGCTGAGGGCACTGTCGAAGGGAGGACTGGTGCGTGGGCTGCCACCAGTTGAGCATGTTGATCAAGTGTGCGAGAGCTGCCTAGCTGGGAAGCAACGGCGACGGCCGTTTCCGACGTCGAGCAGGTACCGTGCAGCTCATCTTCTAGAGTTGGTGCACGCTGACCTGTGTGGGCATATCACTCCGGAGACGCCGGGTGGCAAGCGCATGTTTCTGCTCGCCATCGATGACAAAAGCAGATTCATGTGGCTTGTGCTCCTCACGTCGAAGGATCAAGCTACGGCGGCCATCGTTCAGCTCCAGACCTGGGCAGAAGCGGAGGCAGGACGGCGCCTCGGGACTCTTCACACTGATCGTGGTGGCGAGTTCACGGCGCGCACCTTCAACGACTACTGCGCCGAGCACGGTGTCCAGCGACACCTCACGGCGCCCTACACTCCGCAACAAAATGGAGTGGTGGAACGCTGGAACCAAACTATGTTGGGCATGGCACGGAGCATGCTCAAGGCGATGCGGGTGCCTGGCAAGTTCTAGGGGGAGGCGGTCATGACTACGGTCTTCATCCTGAACAGATCGCCGACACGGAGTGTTGAAGGCATGACGCCGTTTTAAGCGTGGTATGGTTCTAAGCCTCCTATGCACTTCTTCCGTGTTTTTGGCTGCGTTGCACATGTCAAGGCCACTGGTGGACACCGGAGCAAACTCGATGTCGCTCCACGCCGATGGTGTTCATCGGTTATGAACCTGGATCCAAGGCATACAGATTCTACAACCTGAACACCGATCGCGTCCACATATCCCGCGATGCCGTGTTTGATGAAGGCAGGCTATGGAACTAGGGCGAGCACGACGACAACGAGCACACGGTGAACTCGGAACCGTTTCACGTCGAGCACATGACGGTGATGGTTCGCCGTGGTGATCCCATGGAGCTGCAGGAAGATGGTGTGCCAGATGGCTCGCTCGGGGGAAGTCCAGTGCACTCGACTGGATCGCAAGGTGGAACGCCGACAACGCTGGGTGCGCCAACGGTGGCGTCGAGCGTGGGTTCACCAGTAGGCGCACATGGAGGCAGCAGACCAGCAACACCTGCGTCCCCTACATCGGTCGTAGCTGTGGAGTTCGCGTCACCTCCCTCTGGTGAACCAGACCTCGACGGCGAGCACGACGACGAGGTACCGCTGCGGTTCAGAACACTGGAGAACGTTCTGGGACCGGCGGCTACCCCAGTACATGTTGAACGGGAGATGGACGATGTACTCATGCTTGCCGTGGACGATGAACCAGCCACGTTCGAAGACGCACGAGGTGACAAGCACTGGAGGAAGGCCATGATGGAAGAGATGGCATCCATCGAGAAGAATGGAACCTGGGTGCTCACTGATCTACCCCAAGGCCACCGCCCGATCGGCCTCAAGTGGGTTTTCAAGCTCAAGCTCAATGAACAAGGGGAGATCATCAAGCACAAAGCCCGGCTCGTGGCGAAGGGTTATGTCTAGCAGGCCGGCGTCGATTTTGATGAGGTGTTCGCGTCGGTGGCGAGAATGGAGTCGGTGAGGATGCTCCTTGCCGTTGCTACACAGGAGGGCTGGCTTGTCCATTATATGGATGTCAAGTCGGCGTTCCTAAATGGAGACCTCGCGGAGGAGGTATATGTGCACCAGCCGCCTGGCTTCAACACGGCTGGGCATGAGAGGAAGGTACTGCGCCTGAAGAAGGCGCTCTATGGGCTCCGTCAGACTCCCCAAGCATGGACCAGAAGCTGGACACCAGCCTACGCGATCTCGGCTTTGCACGGTGCTCCAGTGAGCATGGCATGTACACCCGCGGCAAGGGGTCGTCACGGGTGGTCGTCGGTGTTTACGTCGATGATTTGGTTATTATAGGAGCCAAGGAAGGTGGAGTCGAAGCATTCAAGGTGGAGATGCAACGCCTATTCAGGATGAGTGACCTCGGGTTGCTGTCTTACTACTTGGGCATAGAGGTGAGGCAGTCCAAGGCTGCTATCACCCTCGGGCAAGCGGCGTATGCGCGCAGGCTGCTACAAAAGGCAAACATGGCAGGGTGCAATCCTTGTCATACCCCGATGGAAGCACGCCTGAAGCTGTCGAAGGAGGGAACGACGGCGTTGGTGGACGCCACCGAGTACCGCAGTCTGGTGGGGAGTCTCAGGTACTTGGTTCACACTCGCCCGGACATATCGTTCGCGGTTGGGTTTGTGAGTCGATTCATGGAGAAACCCAGGCAGGAGCACATGGCGGCGGTAAAGCATCTGCTCCGGTACATTGCCGGAACGATCGAGTACGGCATCATCTACCCCAAGTTGTCAGGCGGCGACAATAATCTGATCGGCTACAGCGACAGCGATTTGGGGGGAGACACTGATGACAGGAAGAGCACGACGGGCATCATCTTCTTCCTGGGGCAGAAGGCGGTGGCCTGGCAGTCCCAAAAGCAAAGGGTGGTGGCGCTCTCGTCCTGTGAGGCGGAGTACATCGTAGGCGCTGGAGCAGCATGTCAGGCGGTGTGGCTCACGAGGCTGCTGAAGGATGTCACCGGTGACGATCCTCAGACGCCTCAACTGAAGATGGACAACATGTCTGCAATCGCGCTCAGCAAGAATCCCGTGCTGCATGATCGAAGTAAGCATATTGATACGAAGTTTCATTTCATTCGAGAATGCATTGACAAGGGCAGCATCTTGCTGGAGTATGCGAGCTCTCAAGAGCAGCTCGCCGATCTGATGATGAAGGCTCTCGGGTGATCAAGGTTCTGTGAGCTTTGGGAGAAGATTGGTGTTGTTAACCTGGGCTGAACCAACCTCGTGAAGGGGGAGATTGTTGGTTTCATTCAGTTAGTTCAGTTGGTTTCAGTCAGTTCATTCAGTCCAGGTTCAGAACTTTCAGAGTTCAGTTAGCTAGCTTTCCATCGTAGCCAATAAAACTGAATCCGTCACCGGATGCGTCTTGTATGCCAGAATCGCGCGTGGTTCACGGTGCGGCAAATCACGTAGTCGTTGTGTCCGTCTTTTTCGTTGAGTCGTAACTGCCAACGCGCTCCACTCATTCGGTCGTGGGATGGCGCGGCTCTGTAGGGAGGAGTGGCGTGCATGGCGCCGAGTCCAGGGCGGCCACGGGCTGCTCTCTGTTTATATACTTTGATCAATAGAGTCAGAAAAAAGCTGCGCTGCTGTGGCAACAAAACCTTCTGTGTATTGTGTGCGTGTGCGTTCGTGAGTTCGGTGTGCAGTTGCAGGGTGTCTTCATCGACTCCGGCGAAGGCTCGCCGGCGGTGTCGACATCAGGGATCTACCACGACGGCGGCAGCGTCGTCGGGTGCCACAACTGCACGGAGCTCAACCACACCGAGACCGACTTCTTCGGCGTGTTCAAGACCGCCATCCACCGGACGCTCGCCGAGGTTACCCGGCGGCATGGCGACGCCGCGGGCAGGAAAGTGGTAGCGCTGACCACGTTCTCGCCGGCGCACTTTGAGGGGGACTGGGACAAGGCCGGCGCCTGCCCCAAGAAGCGGCCGTACAGGAAGGGGGAGAAGGAGCTGGGGTGCACGTAGTCGGAGATGCGGAGGACCGTGGTGGAGGCGGTGCAGGCCGCGGCCGACGCCGCCGGCGCCGGGTCCGGCCTGCGGTTCGCAGCGCTGGACGTGACAACTCTGGCCAACCTGCGGCCGGACGGCCACCTGGGCCCGTACATGCACAAGGACCCGTTCGCCGGCGGCGGCGCGGGCGGCAGGGTGCAGAACGACTGCGTGCACTGGTGCATGCCCGGGCCTGTCGGCACGTTCAACGAGATCCTGCTCCAGAACATCCTCCGGTGACCACGCTAACGAGACATCAGGGAGCACCGGAGCAGGCGTCTCTGCTCATGTGCTCTGTTCTACAAGATTTAGATCAAAAGAATACACGTGCATCGACGATTCTTTTGCTTGTGTATATGTCAAATGTGATATGGTTAGGATATGGCCATATGGGCCTAGGCTGCAAATCATGGGAGATACCATGCAGAAACGAGGGTGGATGGGCTGGTTGTTTTTATTGGTGGTGAGACAACAAAAATCATTGTTATACATTTTTATTTTATTTTGGCGCTTAAAGTTTCGCTACCAGTTTAGAGTTTTACACAGGGCTTTAATTTTCCAGTGATGCCCCGGGTGCCTTCTTTTTCAGACTACGCTCAGTTAAGTTTTTCAATATATATGCTTTGCACCGGGTCACAATTTTTCGAATTGAACTTGAATAATCTGACACGTACGCGTGACCTTCGAGGACGCTCAGCTAAGTTTTTCAATATATATGCTTTGCACTGGGGTCACAATTTTTCAAATTGAACTTGAATAATCTGACACGTACGCGTGACCTTCGAGGACTTCGTATTGGACACGTGATCTGGTCTTTGTATTGTAACCGGGTAAGACACGGACGTTTAACCTACTCATGAGCAGGGATTAGGATTTGGTATTATCTGATAGATGATGACTTTAGAGTCTTTTTAGGTGTAGAAATAAAGATAAAGATAGAGATAGAGATATATATAGATATAGATATAGATAGATAGAAGATAGATATAGATATAGATAGAGTAGAGAAGAGAAGGATCCAAGTCACTCAAGAGCAAAATCTTCAATTTTCGGCTACGGTTTGATGTCTGCAAAATTGCCGATGGACACATTTCGTAGAAACTGTTTCATTATAAAATTATAAGCAAAATACATACTCCTTACTCCTCCGTACATCACAGGTGAAAATGAAGCTCGTTCCTTCTGAGAATGAAAATAGGTGAACATCACTACAGACGACAAAATCCTATGCAATACGCATTCTCTTGCTCTCTGGCTGCATCATTCCACTATCTTCTACTTGTTGGCCCGCGCACGGCCTTTTCAGGGTAGCGATCTCGGCCTTGGCCTCAACGATGGCGTGCGCAGCCATTCTCACCGTTCTTTTCAGGCGGAGCATCTCTCTGAACGTGCTCTCTTCGCCGTGAAGAGCCTCAAACTCATTCCACCGCTTCCAGAAGTCAGCGAAAATGTCTTGCGGCATGTACATGCTGGGCGGCTACTATCTTCACCGTCAAAAACTGTTCTCGAGATCTGTGACAACCTTCTCTCTCCTCGTATTCTTCTGTTCCAACTTTCTTTTTCCTCCGTATTTCCTTGTATTTGCTTTTTTCAACGACGTGTGCTGTTTGGCTTATTTGTTGGTGTAAACAATCACTTCCAATCCATACGCTATCTTTGGTGGAGTCTTCATGAAGGATGAAACAATACCAAGCTTTGAGTGGGTGTTTTCAGAATTCCTGAGTTTGATGGGTGGACAACTTCCAAAAACAGTTTTAACTGGTCACTCGGCAGTTTTGTGTTAGATTAGAAACATTTCATTAAAATATTGTTTCACAAAAAATATGATTCTATAACATGTTTGATGCAGATCAATGCCAGGGCATGGCTGCTGCCCTGTCTAAAGTTTGGAAAGGTGTAGTGCATCTTTGGTGCAAATGGCATGTTTTCAAGGATGCAAAGGCAAAACTGGGACCAAAATATAAGAAAGGTTCTGCTTTTAGGAAAGAATTCCATAAAATAATTAATGACATAATGGCAATTGATGAATTTGAAATGGCATGGGATCTTATGTTAGGTCGTTATGATCTTAGAGGCAATGGGTACTTGTCTAACATATATAAAAAGAGGGAGAAATGGTGTAAAGCTTTCTTCAGAGACACATTTTGTGCTAGAATGTCAAGCACCCAGAGGAGCGAGAGTGCGAACCATATACTGAAGAGATTTGTCCCTAGGAATTGCTCAATGAATAGATTTATCCTATAGTTTAACAAACTTCTATTTGATCGCAACAGGGCGGAAGATCGAGCAGAGTTTGATACAAAAATTGTAAGAGTACCTTTTAACTATTTAACTTCTAGTACCTTTGATTTGTGCCTTACAATCAGAAAAAATGTATTGCAGGTCAGGAATGTAAGGAGGCGTGTATAGCCAATAGAAGAGCATGCTATGACATTCTACATAGCTGCTGTATATGACCTGTTCTGCAAGGAGGTCGATAAATCGACCGACTACTTTGCTGTAGAGAAGACAGAGAACAAACAGTTTGATGTTGTGCATGTTAAACCAAACAGAAAACTACCTTGGGCTAGAGAGAAGTTCACTGTTGTGATTAACAATGGGGGTGAAAGTTATGACTGTGAATGTGGGTTATACCAGCATTTTGGTGTGTTATGCAGTCATGTGCTGAGAGTAAGTTCTGAACCGATTTTTTTTTTTCATGCAATACTTTGTTACTGGTTGCTATCAGATGAGGTAAAAATGAAAAGACCACTTTGATAGCAAAATGAATCTCAAACTTTGTTGGGTATTTTTCAGGTCATGGTGCAATTGGGTGTTTCTGAAGTTCCAAAAGCACACATCCTTAAACGGTGGACTCGTAAAGCTAGAGACCTTCTACCAGGAGAATTGAGGTGCTACCAGCAGGACACGCTGTGTATGGAATCGATGACATACCGCCACACTTATCTCTATGTCAATGCAATTGAAGTAGTGCAAGATGGTAACAAAGATTTGGGTGTATTTGACATAGCAGCAAAGTATCTTAAGAAGGCTCAGAAAAAGCTTAGAGAATATTACAAGGCTAAAGAAAATGACAAGTGTACACCAGCTACAAATAGAGTTGTCATGCAAAGCAATTACTATACAACTGATATCGATACTGGTGTTGACAGTGGATCAGAGAAAGAGGCAGGACTTGGCAATAGTTATGGTGCTGCAGGTTCAAGCGCTATGATGAGTGATTCAGAGTTGCTGAAGCTTAGGGCTCCTGCATTCAAAAGGCCCGCAGGAAGGCCAATACAAATTCGTAAAAAAGGTTTTCTAGAAACCTATGGGAAGAAGCGTAAGAGGAAATCAGACACTGATTTTGGTATTGGCACTGGAGCTCCTATCATCAATAATGAAGAACCAAATCAGAAGAAGAAGATTCGTTGTAGTGAGTGCCAAATTCTTGGGCACAATGCAACAAACTGCAGGAAGAAGCATGTTGATCTGAACACTGAGATCCCAGAATTTTAATCCTTATTGAAATTATTGAGTCAAGAACCATTTAGTTGTTGGCTGCTTATATGCCCTAGTACGTTTGAACTTGAGTCAAAGAACATGTAGCTGCTGACTCATGTTATTAGCTGCACATGTGGCTTAGTGGTTGTATTAGTTGAATCTAGGAACTGATGCATTTTGGTGCTCTCGCTGGGAATTTGGTGTGATGAACACAGTAACTGTTGCCAATACATAATGTGGTTTTATCCCGAATTGGCATGGATATACTATTGATTTGCCTAGATTATTTTTGTTCCTTCCTATAGTGTTTTGTGACAAGGTAATGTTTGTAAGATAAGTCTAGAATATTAAGGCGTCAAACTACTCAATGATCGCAGATGTACCATCGAGATAGTGGCAGTCCTTTTCATTATTATATTTTTACCACTACTTAAAATCACTGTTATGAACCTGATGAGACAACTGCTTACTCCCCTGGCCTGAAGTTGAAAATGATCAAGTGGCTGCAGAACTCTGAGCGTGCACCTTCTGTTCAAGTGAAGTCATTTAAAGAGGGTTCTTTGGCACAAGGTAATAACTAATAATGTTTCACCCTCCATTATCCGTAATACTACAATGGCTGTGCGCCTGTGTCACTGTGGCCATGGTGTCTTTATTTTATATTTTGTCTGGATGAGGTTTAAAGTTTGTTGTACATAGCATGCTTCCTGATATGAAATTTGGCTTTACAAATTTATTCTGGATGATATTTATCTCTCTTGTAGCTACAAACTTCGAAAAGATATGGATGGTAAGATCTTATCACTGGACAAGCGGACATGTTGTTTAATACCAAGTTGGCAAATTTAAAAAGGTTCACCATGTTTTGAATTTTCGAAATTTATTAGAGGAGTGGGGCTTGTGGGGGGATTATTCGGTTGGGCTTGCCTGGAGCTTTTCCCTGGAGAAGAAAACTAATTTGAAACAGCTAGGTGGCCCAAAACCATCTTACGACTACAAGCAAGGGCTGGCAGAGGCCAATTGTTCTTTATGTTTTTGAAATGTCTGTTGGGGGAGCAAGACTTACATTCGCCGCCTTCTGGGCTTGCTGTAGTGACGTGTGTTTGGTGTGGGCAAAATTTGTGGGCAAAATTTGGAAAATGACTGTCAATTTTGTTTTGTAAGCATATGTACATATTTGTCTTGAAAAAGTACTTTCAATCTCATACATTTATTAGATATTATAACTATCTTGATTTTCTAATAAAAGATAATGGTTAATGTTGCACCTCGAATGCTGTGAAAATCAACGCCAAGTATTTTTTTAACGGAGGGAATATCTTAAAAGGAGGGAATATCTTAAAAGTATAGCTTTAGTTAGAATTTTCTGTTCAATGCACATCGCTGCAATCGCTTCATTTGATACAGTAGAATTTTTGCCAAAAAAAAAGTGGCAGCATATTTTGTGTACCAGTTATGTAACAGTTCCCAGGTATAAATATAAAATGCAGTTTAAAACTGCATGTTGGTTTATTTGTCTGTTACTTAACTACCGTGCTATTCCATTGACCAACATGTATATGCCATTCACATTTGACATTTTTATACAGCAAAGGGAAGATTCCTAGACTCGAAACTTCAATCTATGTTACAGATAATATTACCTGCTGATAGATTTGGAGGCAAACCAAAGGGTCCTGGAATTTTGAAAGCTCCTTCACCACCCAACAAAGTAGAATACCCACTTATATTAGCACCAGTCTACACCCTGTTCGTTGATGCTAAAATTTGGCTTATGCTGAAATGTTGTGAGAGAAAAACATTGTTCCATGGCTGAAAATTAGTTCTGAATAAACTCAAGCGAACAGGACGATCTCTTTAGCAGTATATATCTTCCATTTGTGGTTTACGAGCCAGCACATAGGCTTACTGATCTGTGTAGAGTGAGTATATGGTAAATTATATATGCGTACATTCAATTAAAATAAATAATAAAACAGTAGTAGGATTCGGTAGTCGACCCTTATATTGATTACATAACTGATCATATATTTCAACCCATTTATGAAATAGGATATAATATAACTCCAAATATTTAGCTCCATAAACATTATGGATTGTGTTAAATACATCTAAAAAACTAGTAACCCTTGATAAAACATTGTTTGTGCAAAAATGCCAACATATACTGCCAGATTGATTGTGCAAGTACATTTTTAAAAATGCCAAGATATACTGCCAGATTGAATTGCCAAGGTACAATTTTAAAAGAACTAAAGAGTAGAACTTGAAAAGAAGATTTTATACTGACATTTAGATTTCTTCAATATAGACTAAGAAAATAATCGAAGGTGATTCTACTGAACAATCGGTGTGGTCACTGCAGATTTTTACAGCTACAGCTGTGTCTGCAAATAACAAACAGATTTGTATTGTTTCTATAACAGAATGCAGCTGTAGCCGTAGCCCAAAAATCACAACGGATCAAAAAAAAAAAAGAATAAACTTGCCCTAGTGGTAGCTGTGGACGTGTTACTCTGACTTCAATAGATCACATATTGTGGCGACAAGAAAAATATCCACTTACTATGTGTAACCATGGATACAAATATATAATTTAATCACAGGTTGTAGTACCAATGAACATTTGACTAGATTAAACTTATCAACTGGGCATAAACGACAACCTACTCTACTCTTAGGAACCATACCTATAAGCAGTATACTTGTTGGAAAATAAAACAATACTAAAATCTTAAGACAAAATCATTGGGAAATTCCATGATGGTAACACAAGCCATTCTTTTAAATGAGGTATACATTAATATTGGTAAAATAAATAAATTCATCATAAAAGGAATATTACAGGAAGACATAATCATGGAGAAATTTAACACTGTTTCAGTATGGAAAAAAATATGTTCGTCCGTGTCAGTGAGTAGTTTGAAAAAAATTAGACAGATGTATTTATTCCAATAATAAGCAGAAAATATTATAAAGAAAGATGGTGCTGGACGAAGACATGGATCTGAACTTTATACTGTAATGCAACTTAGAGATCTAAGAATGGATAAGAACATAAAAAACCAGTTACAATAAACCCTTTGAGTACTTACCAGTCATTTAAAAAAGATAGTTGTCAAGAAAAAATTGCTACTAGAGAGAGAGCGGCGACAGCAGCGTCGGAGTGGAGCAGCGGCGAGCGGCTGACTGGAGCAGCAGCAGCGAGCGGCGGAGGGGAGCGGCGGCGGGGAGGTGCGGCAAGAGCAGCGGCGAGCGGCGGTGGAGAGATTAGGGCGGCGGCATAGAGTAGAGGAGAGAGATAGAACGGAGAAGAGATAGATTGGGGAAGAGAGATGTCGTGGGAGAGAGAGCGCTCTATGGGGAAATTTGCGGCAGGTAGGATTCACAATTTGAAAAAAGTGAGCAGGAGCTGGTCGGGAGAGAACGGGGGAAAGAAAAAGCAGAGGAGAAGAGACAGAAGGGGAGACCACTTTATATATGGCATAGAAGTAGTATAGCTAGTGTATACGTACGTAAATACAATGTACAGGAGGAAGAAAGAATTATAGGAAAGAAACTGTCACTGTCAGTTGCACATCTCGAGGTTGAGTTGGATGGCTAGGATAGTGCCTGCTGAGTGGGTAGGGAAAAAAAAAACTGCTTTCCGGGCGTCCAGATCAGTGAAGCCTGACGCGTACACGTACAGCGCCCTGACGCGTTGGACTTCGCCGAGGCCCATCTCCAGGTCTGCGAACCTCCATCCGGTTTGTTTGCGCTGATTTGATTTATAAGTTAGGGCTGAAATCACTGTTGACTAGTTTAGTGTGAGAGAAAAATATTATTTATTAACTGATAAGTCATAGCTTATAAGCCAGATATGAGCAAGCGAACAGGGGGTAAATCTCCCTCGCCTTGACAACGCCAAACATGGCGGTGGCCCGGGTGACGTACACGCCGTAGATGCCGGGCTTGTCACAGTTGGGAACAGCGCTCGCCGCGTCCTCGTAGACCTTCATGGCGCGCGTGGCCAGGCCGAAGGGAGTGTTCGGCTGGCTGGTTATTAAGCCAAAATACTGTTTCGACTGAATTATTGTGAGAGGAAAATACTGTTCTGCTGGAAGACACTGTTCATATGCCCGCGTGAGTGGGCTGGCCGGCCGGCCGGCCGGCCAGCCGAACACGGCCGAAGTCCTCCTCGAACTTGGCGTACCGAAGGAACATCGCCTTCTTCGTCTGCGGCGGAGCCTGCCAGACGGCGTCCTCGAACAGGTCCCTCACCCTCTCCGGCCTGCTCTTCCGTACCTCTGGACGGACTGGGCCAGGTACGCCGCCCATATCGGCTCGGCGTGAGGGTGCTTGAAGGACCTGACGCCCCTCTGGCACACCAGGAACGCGTCCTCGAACCGGTTCTGCTCTTGGAGAAGTGAGGCGTGGTTGAGCACCAGCAGAGGCGTGGTCAGTCCCAGGTCGTGTATCCTCTCGTACACGGCGCAGGTAGATTCCAGCGCCCCGTGTGTTTCCATCAGGTCGGCGTACAAGCACCACAGCTTGAGGGATTTGTGCAGCTTGATCTGGGCCGTCTCGCCGCGCTCGGCCGGCGCCGCGGCGACCCGTCTCCTGACCTCGACCGACGGTTCCGACGTCGCTTGCCGGATGAGGTCGATGGCCGTCTCGTGGTTGTCGTGCCTCAGCTCCATCTCCGCCCACTCGCACCAGACGGCGGCGAGGTCGTCCACGGCCTTGAAGTTGACCTGCGTGGCGCGCCGGAAGACCTCCCGGGCGCTGTCGAGCAGACCGCGGCCCTCGTACATCTTGGCGAACGCGAGCCAGAGCGTGTGCGGCTTTCCCGGTGTTTTCATCGGATCAATGGTGCTGAGTGCCTCCGCGTACGCCGCGGCCTGCCGCGCCGGGTCCGTGTGGAATATCTTCACCCTCTCGTGCCATGCCTGGACTTCGTGCGGGTTCTGCCTCAGCTGCACGCGGTTGAGCAGCTCCGGCCGGCGTTCCAGCAGCCGCTCCAGCTTCGCCACGTTCAGGTCGGCGTCGTCTTTGTCGGCCAGCCAGCAGCCCTGGAGGACGGACGCAGAGTTCTCCTCTTGTCCGCCTTTGTCGAGCTCCGGCTCCGCGGCAACCACGGCGTGCTCGAAGTGCAGGTAGGACTCGAAGACCAGCCTGAAGTCCTTGACTGTCGTCGCGGCGGCGGTGGACTCCTCGAGCACGCCTCTCGCCTTGTTGTCGATGCCCTTCCGTGCGTAGACCCGCTAGAGTTGTCCACAGCACGCCGTACTCCTCGGGGAACTTGCAGACGGCGCTGCGGAGGATGGCTTCCACGGGCATCCCGGCGACGTCGTCGGGGTGCTTGGCGAGGAGATCGCATAGGTCGAGCAGGAGCTGGCGCTTGGTCGTGCCCTTGGCCGAGCGGAAGCCGTCGTCACTGATGGCTGTGGCGAGCTGTTCGGCCGCCTCCCGAAACCTGCCTGCTGAGACGAGGTAGGCGATGAACTCCTCGGCGTACGCGGGGTCGAACTGTAGGTAGCGGCGGAGGAGGCGGACGGCGGTCACGGCGGGGCAGCCCGGGAAGTAGGCGAGGCGGAGGACGAGCGGCCACACGCGGTGGTGCTGCGTGACGGGCAGGGCGCGGAGCGCGCGGTCGAGGGCCTGGCGGGCGCGGGTGAGCAGGCGCTGGTCCAGGAGCGCGGAGGCGTACATGTGCCAGATGCGCGGCATCCGGGACATGCCCGCCGCCAGGGTGGGCTCGAAGGCGCCGTTGAGGGCAGCGTCGTGGGCGGCGCGGCCGGTGACGGCGACGGGCCGCGCGGCGTCCGCGAGCTCCGTCAGGTAAGCGTGCCACAGCTTGTACGATCCCGGGAGCACCCTCAGCGCCCGCTCGTAGATGGCCTCGCGCTTCGCCGGCGGCGCCTCAGCGCGCGCCGACAGATAGCACAGCCATGACGCTATCTTGAAAGGTTCCCGCAGGACGTCCTCCTCGTAGGGCACGTCCTCCGCCGAGATCACGCACGCCATGATGTATGGGTCTGGCTCTACTTCTCTTTGTCAGATCTTTTCTTTGTGGAAGAGACACGGTGGTGGCGGAGCTTCAATTTAAAGGACTCAAAGAAGTCACAAGTTCAATCGGGATGGCCGAGTCGGTTACGAGATTCAACTGACTGTGCCCCAGTCGAACATCTTGCCGCCCGGAGTTTGAGTCGGATCGCCTCGCGTTTTCTCCATCCCCTCGCCCCCGTTGGCCGTTCTTGAAGGCAACGCAGTAGCGGCGGCGGCGGATAGATGCTGGGCCAATCTAATCCGTTGCTAAAAGATGGGCTGAAACAGCTAAAGCCCAAATCATTTTTTTCTGTTTCATAATATGTCGGTCAAACTCGGCCCATGTTCTGTCTGCGAGTTATGACCCCTTTTCCGTTAGCTATTTTATGTTTCGGAGCTGTTTAGCAGTTTAGCACTCGGATGTTCGGATGAACTTAACCCATCAGACGCTCCGTTTCCACTAGGGCACACCAACATCCATCCGTAGCACTAGTTCTTATATACTCCTTTCCACTGCATATTAGCTGGTCTCATCAGACCGGTTTTAATGGAAGTTTTATTAGAGTTTTATGGTCATTGAATAAATTGACATGACATTATTATACAAATAAAGAGAGATATAATAAAAATTTCATAGGATAAAATGAGTTTCATGTAGATAAAACTTATTTACTCTCTTTTCAATACCTAGGAGTCTTGAAAACATGAATATGAAACCACCACTGAAACTGCCCTATATACCACAACAACCGTTAGAGCAACTATAAGAGACTCTATATCCTTCATAATTGCTAAGAATCGGGATTTTGGTGAAAAGTACCATCCAACAACTTTTTTATTTTGTTATTCAAATATAGCCATATCTAATTTCGGATTTCTCGCAAGCCAAAAATAGAAAAACTGAGAATGACTCTCTAGAGTTCAAACAAGATATATAAAAACTGTTGGAGGGTGAAAAAAATATAGAAAGCATTTTTTATACAAATGACTCTACAAATGATAATTTAGAGAGTGAGATTTAAAAAGACTCTTAGAGATGCTCTTACATGTCTCCTCCTCCCTCTCACATGTGACACCTCCCATGGCAAAGTAGCTTTTTACGGTGGTCGCGCACAACCACCATTGGCTAGCTCTAGTCTCTCGCAAGGATTGTGCTCCCATCAGCGCTCTTGGAAAAGGCCGAAGACTATGGCTGCTACCAGCACAGGTGAGGACTCGTCCATGGTGGAGATGAACACAGGCTGTGATGACCTTCTCCCACCTCCCTGCTTCCTCTAGTGAGCTTAACGATGACGAGCCAGGACTTTCATTTGGAGCTACAATCTTCGCCCTTGAATTCATCCATGGCTATTGTATATTCCAACCCCGCATGGCCTACGATGTTGTGGTACCTAATTTATAATGTTATGTTTATTGTTCCGTCATGTTGGATGAGACTTAGGAGTGTTATAACATATGATTTTTTAATGTTGCAATAGATGGTTATTGTGTTGTAGAAAGTTTTGATGATGTGATTACCTATTTCTCCCCGTGTTGCATCCAACCTATTTGATCAGTCAATGCAACATGGGAAAAACATAGTCCCTATCGACCAGACGGAACACCAGAATACTAGATCATGGCTTGGAAGGGAAAAACAAAACCCAGCATCGTGACATGCCAAAAAACCAATTCAACATCGATGAAAAATAAATCTAACAAAGCAGCATGTAGTGACATCCACTTTTGTTTTTGTACACCAACCGCTTGTAACACAGCGTGCATAAATCCACAGCCACGGCAAACCGGAGCTTTGATTGAAGCCGAGCCTCCAAAGCGGCACATATTTCAATGCATGACGACCTCAGCGTTGGATCCCTCCGATCCGATCGATAAGCTACCATTTCAGGGACGTACTTAGAGCACTCCCAATGCAGAAACCACCATAGTATATATGGATATTAATTGTACTACCACCTATGTATTTTGCTGATATGGCAAGGTATTTATTGAAGAGAGAGAGAGAGAGCAAAAATCATAGAAACCAAGTCTAAGTTAGAAACCATATCTATACAAGAACCAAGACATGAAGGGATGTGATTGGCAGAGAATGGGGAGAGAATGTATGTGATTGGATAAAAAATTGTTCTGTAGAAACTATCCATTAAGACCATAGTTTCTATATATAGTGTCTATGACAATTAATAAGTATAGAAACTACATGTAGTTTCTAGGATTTGGGATAGCCCTTATGGAGCACTCGAGCCCCAGCCTATGGCCGGCCCGGAGTTGTAGTGTTGTATGGCCTATTTGTTTGCCTAGACGCCCCCCAGATGCAGGCCCAGCGGGTGTAGCGTGGCCAGTTTGTTGCCTAGAGGGGATTTTGGGCCCGGCCGGCACGCTGCTTAAAGCAGCCCAGAGCCAGGCCCTGGGGAAACGCCCACCCCCTCCGTTTCTCCCGAGCCCAGCTCGTTTTGGCCACTGGCGGGATCATTTCGACCATTCTCGGGCTTGCCCTCTCGTCTCGCGCGTGACGCAGACATTCCCCCCCTCCCCGCTAGGGTTTGCCTCCCTTATAAGGGCGACCGCCGCTCACTCTTCTCCTCTCCTCCCCACTCCTCACTCCCTCCTGCTCTTCACTCTCCTTGGTGTGGTTGCCTCATCCTCCCTTGTCCGACGGTGCATGGTGGCGGCGGGGTCGTAGACGGGCCTCGCGAGGCTCGCGTCGGCTCCTCCTCCTCCATCTCGCCGGCACACGGGTGGTGGTCCTCGTCGTCTTCTTCTTCCTCAAGATGAGCGGGTGGTGCTATGGGTGGCTGTGTTTGTTTGCCTAGACCTGGGCCTGTGGTGGACGCTGCTTTGTCTTCCCGAAGCCATCGCCCGCTTCCTCTCCGGATCTGCTTCCTCCTCCCCAAGCCGCCAACTTCTTCCTCCTCTTCGACCCCAAAGCAAGGTGAAATCTTGATGTTGGTTACACTTAGCCCGATTTTGGTGGTCAAAGTGCTCATAGCGTTGTGAAGTATTTACACTTGACCTGATTTCGGTGGTCAAAATGCTCATAGCGTTGTTTCTATGTGATTCATGGTTCACTCGTGGAAGATCTATGAGTTATTGGGACAAATCCATGATGTTTTCATGTTTTTGTTTCACTGTGATGCTAAATATAAGCTAAGGTTTACTATTTACCATGGTTTGAGATTGGGATCCTACTGTTGCTGGTTTATTTTTGGTTGATCTGAGTTATTAGTCCCAATCCATGATAGTTTACTGTGATGATACTTATGAGCTAGGGTTAACTGTTAGACATGGTTTGAGATTGGGATGTGTCTGTTCCTGGTTTATTTGTGGTCGATGATGTTGAGGTGGAGCCTTTGGGAGGCTGTGTTATGCACATTGAAGCTGAGGCCATGAAGCCCTAGGAGTCCACCTGTTTTACTTATGTTTGCAATGATGTGCACTAGAGGCCAGCAAGGCATGCCTTAACCTAAAATCAATCTTTCATTCATGCATGTAGATGGATTTGCAGCAATGGAGATCTGCCATGGCATCCTAGGCTGCCTCCATGGTAGTTGTGATGGTTGCCCTTGTTTCTTCTAAACTAAAAAGGGCTAGAGAGGAGGATGAGCCTATTTTTATGGTCCTAGGTGAAAGGTCCTTGTGTGGTTTTGGTAATTGAGTGACAACCTAGGTGGACTAATTATGTTTATATGAGATACACAGGTAGTCCATAGGAACATGTGTGTGAGCAACATATGTGATGAAGGTGAAAATGGCTTGGAGATGTTGCAAAGCTCACACATGTGATGATGAAAGAGCTCATTGCAAATGAGACATGACATTGAGTCATGTGATCAAGGTGGAGAAGATCAAGACAAGACTTGGATTGATGGACCAGTTGCAAACGTGAAGGGCAAGTCGAAGGCTTTGGAGCAATGGACCGCGTGGCGGTGAAGCTTGAGCAAGACTTGGCGCCGATGGACGATGGCAACGGTGAAGAGCAAGTGAAGTCAAGATCGATGAACCAATATGATCACGTGATGATATGAAGTGAATCATATCATTGTTGATCGTGTTGGTGCATGTGTTGCATCGACGTTGGAGGAGATGGAATGGAATGCGCAAGGCAAAGGTATATCCTAGGGTATTTCATTTCACTGGTCATAGGTGTGTAGAGAAGTTTATGACCGGATTTAGGATAGATGGCCATACTATCAAGAGGAGCAAACTTGTTTGCATATCGGTCATCTAGTGCCACTCGAGTGATCTAACTTTGCATGGTCGCTAGAATTGAATGGCGTGGCAAGTGGAGTGGCTAATTCTTTGAAAAATGATTGTGAAAATGCTAACACACATACACATGGTGGTGTACACTTGGTGGAGTTGGCACATTTACAAAGGAGATGAAGTTGGAGTTGATGTGGATCAACTCGGTGAAGAAATGGAGGCGAAAGGAGAAACTCCACCGGCGGAGTGTCCGCCCGTAGAGTGCGGACAGTCCGACGGTGCCACCGGCGCCCTATACAGAAACGACAGGGTCTCATAGAGTGGACCAGACGCTAGGGTCCTACGTCCGGTCAGAGCTGACGTATGGTGACGTAGGCAGAGGAGAAGCTGGAAGTGACCGGACGCTGGTGCTGCGTCCGATCGCGATCGTCCAGACGCGTCCGGTCATGTCCGGTACCTTACTGGAAACGATCGGACGCTGGGGCTACTGCGTCCGATCAGTTGAAGCTGCTGCGTTCGATCAAGTGAAGTGACCGTTGAAATCGGGACACGTGGCCATCTGCGGGTGACCGGACGCTAAGGTCCAGCGTTCGGTCAACATGACCGGAGCGTCCGGTCGGCCCGACTTTTGCCCAGTGAAGGGGTAGCGGCTAGTTTAGCCCATGGGGCTATAAATAGAAGTGACTCTTGGCCATGGAGAGTGTTGAGCACCTGAAGGGACTTAGTGTCCATGCTTGTGAGTGCTTGGGAGCCCTCCATCACACATATACTTGATA